ATTTTCTTTAATAAACACTAAGTTGGGAGAGACTGCCTTTGGGGGAATAATACTGGGCATAAAATTAAGAAAAGGAAGGTTCAAAGTAATGAATACAAGCAAATTATAGCAAAAATGACAAAAGTTGGTTTGCAGTAGCTGTAGATCGGCCGTGCATCATTTGGTAGTACATCTAAGAATTCTTTTATTTCGGTCTTTCAAGAAAGGCAAAAAAAGGAAAAGAAATAATTTGATCTTTTTAAGGCAAGCTGTAGTCGAGAAATTAGTAAACCTTCAATTTCTTCTGAAGAGTGTTCTTCAGGTAAAGAGAGTGATTGTGAATTTTGGCATCTTCTGGGGAAATGAACCTTCAACTCAGGGAGAACTTAGCATTGAGGCTGGAACCATGGAACCAAATTTTGGCTCGGTTGAAGCATCTGAAAGGATTGATGGCGCTTCTGTCATAAAACTGGAAAGTCCTAAGAATCTAGCAGAATTTAAAGAAGCAAGTATTGAGTCTCGGGAATGTAACTGCATGTCTCGTGGTGTTGAAGCTGGTCAAGAATTTAATAATGCTGGTAACAAAAGCTCCAAGTCTATGAAATCAGTGCACTCTATTTCAAGTTTGACTTCTACCCATGAACTTAATGGTCATGGATTCATGCCTGCTCTTGGTGAAATGCTTAAGATGTCGGGGACAAGATGGAAAAGGCCCTTCAGAAGCACAGCCATTCCAAAAGTAAGTCTTCATCTCTCTGCTGAGGGCATCAGATTTAAACTGAAATATTCAGTTTGTCTTTCTGCATATTTTCAGAATAGTGAGTTATCACAATTGACCAGTGCACTACTGTATTATACTTGTATATGCACACAGAGCATGGGTGGAATAGAAAAATGCTTGAGGTCTTTTTGTCCCTTCATAGAATGCTTTCCAGAAGCAAGGTAAAAAGAAGTAGAATGGGTATGCATTTCTGAACATCCTTATGGTCTTGTTACTACTGTATACAATCATTAAAAGACACAAAATCAATTTTAGCTCTTTTGCTGCCTGTGCCATAGTACTACGCCTTTTTCACTGGCTGCACATAGTACTACGTGATGAACTCATTTCACTCGGATAAACTGTGAGTGGTAAATTTGGGCCTAGATGTGAGAGAATGAATTGACGCGGTAAGTGCGCATATAAAAGTAATCCTGCAGCACGCAGTGCATGATGAGGAAAAAAACTCTGTTTGGTTTAAAACGGCAGTTTTACGATGTATTTTCATGTGGTTTTTATGGTTGTATTCTCGGTTTCTTGGTCTCATTTGATAGAATGGAAGATATATTACAGAAAGAGAGGTGATTTTGATTGCTTTTAGGACTGAAAATAGTGTGAAACTTGAGCTCAAAGTTGCAGAAATGTTCGATTTTTGCCAATATTCAAGAATAAACAGATCGCTTCACGCGTCCAAGTCAACTGGTGGCTCTAATGTGCGTTCATGAATGCGCTGATATTATTTATAAAACTATTACAATATTGCATAACAGTAAATGTTCTATTTTTTGGTGTGAATAAAAGTTCTTGTATGAAAATCAAAATGGAATTTGTGTGTAACACCTGGAAATGTAACTAATGAACAGAGGAAATGTTAGTGTGAAATTGACCAAATTACCAATTTCTGATCACTTCATTGGGTAATTGAAATAGTTGATTGGGCAATTGCTTGTGCTTGCTCGATAACATGGATGACATACTAGCGAAATAGGTTAAGAATTTGGATGACTAGAACAATGTAATTGGCCTAAAATAGGACTCAGTGGGCAAAATCGCTTATGTGTAAATATTGCTGACACAGCAAAATTCGTGAAAGCGTAATATCGCTAATTTTCAATGAAATTTTGTACTTTTTGTTTTATTACCTTCAGAAAAAGATTCTCTACCATTTCATGAGAGAAAAAACAAATTTTTTTGAAAAAACTTGGGGCACTGGACAAGTTTCAGATTTTGGGGGGCCCGGGCGGGAAAGGGTTTAAATAATTTTTTTGTTTCAGTATGATTCAACATTTTGTGTTTTTATATTGTAAGTTAAGGGTTTAGTGATTCTGAAAGAACGGAGGAGGGTTGCTTTTTTTTTTTTTTTTTTTTTTTTTTTTTTTTTTTTTTTTTTTTTTTTTTTTTTTTTTTTATTATACACAAGTCGGCCGTCTCCCACCGACGCAGGGTGACCCAAAAGGAAAGAAAATCCCCAAAAAGAAAATACTTTCATCATTTAACACTTTCAACTCTCACATAATCACTGTTTTTGCAGAGGTGCTCAGAATACAACAGTTTAGAAGCATATACAAAGATACACAACATATCCCTCCAAACTGCCAATATCTCAAACCCCTCCTTTAAAGTGCAGGCATTGTACTTCACATTTCCAGGGCTCAAGTCCGGCTATATAAAAATAACCAGTTTCCCTGAATCCTTTCACTAAATATTACCCTGCTCAAACTCCAACAGCTCGTCAGGTTGTTAAATTAGACACGTGCAACTCTTGGGTATCTTTATTGAGGAAACGTTTCGCCACACAGTGGCTTCATCAGTCCATACAAAGGATAAACTTGAACAGGAGGAGAATGAGGTAATCAGTCCCTCAGCCTTGAGCCGATGTGGTCAGTCCATCAATCTTCAATAGAATACGGCATAGGAGTGGAGAAGCAGCTCATAAACCTTATGGCAGGAGAGGTGCAGCAGTCGTAGGTGGTGTCACATTTGTCCAATGTGGAAGTAGGTCGTGCCCAAGGGTTAGGCAAGAGAAGAATTCCCAAGTATTAAGATCCCAAGAAGTTGCAGTGTCTGACAGGATTGTAGATGAATGGTTCAAAGAATCGACATGTTAAATTAGACACATGTGCAACTCTTGGGTATCTTTGAGGAAACGTTTCGCCACACAGTGGCTTCATCAGTCCATACAAAGGATAAACTTGAACAGGAGGAGAATGAGGTAATCAGTCCCTCAGCCTTGAGTGACCTCATCGACTCAAGGCTGAGGGACTGATTACCTCATTCTCCTCCTGTTCTTCAAGTTTATCCTTTGTATGGACTGATGAAGCCACTGTGTGGTGAAACGTTTCCTCAATAAAGATACCCAAGAGTTGCACATGTCTAATTTAACAACATGTCGGTTCTTTGAACCATTCATCTACAAGCTCGTCAGGTCCCAAGTACCATTCGTCTCCATTCACTCCTATCTAACACACTTACGCATGCTTGCTGGAAGTCCAAGCCCCTCGCCCACAAAACCTCCTTTACCCCCTCCCTCCAACCTTTTCGAGGACAACCCCCTACCCCGCCTTCCTTCCTCTACAGATTTATATGCTCTCCATGTCATTCTACTTTGATCCATTCTCTCTAATGGCCAAACCACCTCAACAACCCCTCTTCAGCCCTCTGACTAATACTTTTATTAACTCCACACCTTCTCTTAACCCTTTGACTGTCGCAACCCCCAATCCTGAGGTGTCTCCTGGTGTCGCAAAATTTAAAAAAAAAAAAATAATTTTTTCTTATGAAATGATAGAGAATCTTTTCCCGATTGTAATGACACCAAAAAAAACGAAATTTGATGGAAAACTGACGGAATTATGCTCTCGCGAAGTTAGCGACCTCGGCGCTGTTTACAAATCGGCGATTTCGCTTACTTTGAGCCTTATTTTCGGCTAATTCCATTGTTCCAGTCGCCCAAACTCATAGCTATTTCTTTAGAACTTCATTTTTTCTATCGATTGAGTACAAGAAACTGCCCATTTACTGATTTCAACTACCTAATAATGTGGTCAGAAATTTGCAATTTGGCCAATTTCACAAAAACTAAAAAATATGACAATTTCAAAATAAGGTCCAGAATGAACAATGCAGACATTCCAGGCTCTAAAATAACGTTTTCTTTGTTCATCAGTCACGTCTCCAGGCCCCTCTGATATTACTCTTGCTTTCTATTTTGAATTTTTATTCAAACAAAAAAATATTAGACTTACTATTATGCAGACTACTGCAATGCTGTAATAACTGTATAAATAACATCAACCCATTCATGACTGCATATTAGAATGGCTAGTTGGACATTTATTGGACAATGGCATCATTTGTTTACTTTTAAACATTGGCAAAAATCAAACATTTCCCCTACTTTGAGCTCCATTTCTAGGTTCTTTTTATAGTAAAATCGATCAAAAACACCTCTATTTCTGTAATATGTTTTCCATTCTATCAAATGAGACCAAGAAAACGAGAATACATCCATAAATACTATACGAAAATAGACCACAAAGTCGGCATTTTAATTAAAAAAAACGGTCGGAGTTTTTTTTTTCTCATTATGCACTGCGTGCTCCAGGATTTTTTTTATATGGTGCACACTGACCACACAGACCCATTCTCTCACATGTGGGCCTACCAGCTTTCTCCTGCTTGATTTGAAGCCGCTAGAATTTATGAGTATATATACGTCAAACACGGCACCTCGTAAAACGTATATATATGGCCGCGACAGTCAAAGGGTTAATTTCCACACTCCGAATTTTCTGCATGATACTTACACCACACATTGCCCTTAGGACATCCCCACTGCCTCCAACTGCCTCCTCGCTGCAGCATTTACAACCCAAGCTTCACACCCATATAAGAGTGTTGATACTACTATACTTTCATACATTCCCTTCTTTGCCTCCACTGATAACATTTTTTTGTCTCCACATGTACCTCAACGCACCACACGCCTTTTTTCCTTCATCAATTCTATGATTAACCTCATCCTTCATAAAACCATCCACTGACACGTTAACTCCCAGATAACTGAAAACATTCACTTCTTCCATACTCCGCCTCCCCAATTTGGTATCCGATTTTTATATTCCTGTATTAATAATACTTCATTATAAAAATTTTGTATTGGGGTGTATTAAAATAGAAGATGGGATAATGCACCTATCTTGGTCCCCATAATGTGATCTAATGCTATGTAGGTATATAGTGGTGGTGCCAAGAGGTGCTCTCCCCCCCAAAAATAAAAAGACCGGTCTCCCATAGCTCCCTAAATAAAAATAATGCTACTGCAACACAGGTCTCCTAGCCCCCCTTCAAATCATGTAGGTACTCCTAAGCCTCTGCAGTACAGAAATTCTGGCACTGACCCAGGAAGTACCAGCATGTATACAGTGAGTTTTTTTCCTCTCAAGAATTCTGTTTAGGGCATCCAGGTTATCCCATGTGAATTGTCAATGTAGTCTATTATTATTATTATTATCACACTGGCCGATTCCCACCAAGGCAGGGTGGCCCAAAAAAGAAAAACTTTCACCATCATTCACTCCATCACTGTCTTGCCAGAAGGGTGCTTTACACTACAGTTTTTAAACTGCAACATTAACACCCCTCCTTCAGAGTGCAGGCACTGTACTTCCCATCTCCAGGGCTCAAGTCCGGCCTGCCGGTTTCCCTGAACCCCTTCATAAATGTTACTTTGCTCACACTCCAACAGCACGTCAAGTATTAAAATACCATTTGTCTCCATTCACTCCTATCAAACACGCTCACGCATGCCTGCTGGAAGTTCAAGCCCCTCACACACAAAATCTCCTTTACCCCCTCTCTCCAACCTTTCCTAGGCCGACCCTACCCCGCCTTCCTTCCACTACAGACTGATACACTTTTGAAGTCATTCTGTTTCGCTCCATTCTCTCTACATGTCCGAACCACCTCAACAACCCTTCCTCAGCCTCTGGACAACAGTTTTGGTAATCCCGCACCTCTCCTAACTTCCAAACTATGAATTCTCTGCATTATATTCACACCACACATTGCCCTCAGACATGACATCTCCACTGCCTCCGCCTTCTCCTCGCTGCAACATTCATCACCCATGCTTCACACCCATATAAGAGCGTTGGTAAAACTATACTCTCATACATTCCCCTCTTTGCCTCCAAGGACAAAGTTCTTTGTCTCCACAGACTCCTAAGTGCACCACTCACTCTTTTCCCCTCATCAATTCTATGATTCACCTCATCTTTCATAGACCCATCCGCTGACACGTCCACTCCCAAATATCTGAATACATTCACCTCCTCCATACTCTCCCCCTCCAATCTGATATTCAATCTTTCATCACCTAATCTTTTTGTTATCCTCATAACCTTACTCTTTCCTGTATTCACCTTTAATTTTCTTCTTTTGCACACCCTACCAAATTCATCCACCAATCTCTGCAACTTCTCTTCAGAATCTCCCAAGAGCACAGTGTCATCAGCAAAGAGCAGCTGTGACAACTCCCACTTTGTGTGTGATTCTTTATCTTTTAACTCCATGCCTCTTGCCAAGACCCTCGCATTTACTTCTCTTACAACCCCATCTATAAATATATTAAACAACCACGGTGACATCACACATCCTTGTCTAAGGCCTACTTTTACTGGGAAATAATTTCCCTCTTTCCTACATACTCTAACTTGAGCCTCACTATCCTCGTAAAAACTCTTCACTGCTTTCAGTAACCTACCTCCTACACCATACACTTGGAACATCTGCCACATTGCCCCCCTATACCACCCTGTCATATGCCTTTTCCAAATCCATAAATGCCACAAAGACCTCTTTAGCCTTATCTAAATTACTGTTCACTTATATGTTTCACTGTAAACACCTGGTCCACACACCCCTACCTTTCCTAAAGCCTCCTTGTTCATCTGCTATCCTATTCTCCATCTTACTCTTAATTCTTTCAATAATAACTCTACCATACACTTTACCAGGTATACTCAGCAGACTTATCCCCCTATAATTTTTGCACTCTCTTTTATCCCCTTTGCCTTTATACAAAGGAACTATGCATGCTCTCTGCCAATCCCTAGGTACCTTACCCTCTTCCATACATTTATTAAATAATTGCACCAACCACTCCAAAACTATATCCCCACCTGCTTTTAACATTTCTATCTTTATCCCATCAATCCTGGCTGCCTTACCCCCTTTCATTTTACCTACTGCCTCACGAACTTCCCCCACACTCACAACTGGCTCTTCCTCACTCCTACAAGATGTTATTCCTCCTTGTCCTATACACGAAATCACAGCTTCCCTATCTTCATCAACATTTAACAATTCCTCAAAATATTCCCTCCATCTTCCCAATACCTCTAACTCTCCATTTAATAACTCTCCTCTCCTATTTTTAACTGACAAATCCATTTGTTCTCTAGGCTTTCTTAACTTGTTAATCTCACTCCAAAACTTTTTCTTATTTTCAACAAAATTTGTTGATAACATCTCACCCACTCTCTCATTTGCTCTCTTTTTACATTGCTTCACCACTCTCTTAACCTCTCTCTTTTTCTCCATATACTCTTCCCTCCTTGCATCACTTCTACTTTGTAAAAACTTCTCATATGCTAACTTTTTCTCCCTTACTACTCTCTTTACATCATCATTCCACCAATCGCTCCTCTTCCCTCCCGCACCCACTTTCCTGTAACCACAAACTTCTGCTGAACACTAACACTACATTTTTAAACCTACCCCATACCTCTTCGACCCATTGCCTATGCTCTCATTAGCCCATCTATCCTCCAATAGCTGTTTATATCTTACCCTAGCTGCCTCCTCTTTTAGTTTATAAACCTTCACCTCTCTCTTCCCTGATGCTTCTATTCCCCTTGTATCCCATCTACCTTTTACTCTCAGTGTAGCTACAACTAGAAAGTGATCTGATATATCTGTGGCCCCTCTATAAACATGTACATCATGAAGTCTACTCAACAGTCTTTTATCTACCAATACATAATCCAACAAACTACTGTCATTTTGCCCTACATCATATCTTGTATACTTATTTATCCTCTTTTTCTTAAAATATGTATTACCTATAACTAAACCCCTTTCTATACAAAGTTCAATCAAAGGGCTCCCATTATCATTTACACCTGGCACCCCAAACTTACCTACCACACCCTCTCTAAAAGTTTCTCCTACTTTAGCATTCAGGTCCCCTAATGAGAAAAAAAATTGCAAGGGGATGAAGATTAGTAATAGAGGGCTTGGAACACCTTTTCTGTATCACTTATGTTGGCTGTTAATAACTTGCAAAGAAAATCTACCTTGTTGCCTGTGGTGTTGAATGTTTTTGGAGGTCACAATATTTATACTGTAAGTTGAATACATTTTTAAATATAAAGGATAGGCCTTACATGTAGATCTAGAGGTACTGGTAAGTGTGTTGCTTATTGTGGCCTTATTTTAAGGCATACCTTATTAAAGTGTTGCAGTACAGTGAACTCAGGTTAAGGAACCTCAGTTTAATGGAAATATGGGACAAAATTCACTGTAGTAATTTTCAGAACAGTGAATGAAGTCGATTGGTCACAGAACTGTTATTGCTATGATCATGGCAAAAGAATCTCGCCTCTGTCCACCACAGTTGACATAACCGACCACACTCTGTTAGTCAGTTTTACTACATAGATCTGCTAGAGTCCTGTCTCGCATGTTGTTGTAAAGCTTCAGGTGGTTGTAGGCAAGTAAATTACGAGGAGGAGGAGTGTTAATGTTGCATATTTACAACTGTAGTGTAGGCATGCCTCTGGCAAGACAGTGATGGAGTGAATGATGAAAGTTTTTTCTTTTTCGGGCCACCCTGCTTTGGTGGGAAACGGCCGACATGTTAATAATAAAAAAAATAACTTTAAAGTTAACAATTACATTACAGTGTATCCAAAAGATATTACTAAATTCAATCTTGCACATTTAATGCTTGTACCAGTATGCACTTTTTTGTAATTGATTGTAACCAATATATAAATTAGATTGTATCCTAGTTAAAAATAACCCCTTCCCTGCACTCTTCCTTCCATTGCACTTGCCATACTATTTTTCAGGCGTTATATATCTTCCTTACTCGCATCCAGGTGTAGATGTAGAGATTTTTTTGATCAGGCCTGATACAAAATGGATTGTAGTGAAAAATAACAGCATATAAATTTTAGCATCGTCTGAAAACATAGATGTATTCTAAAGTTTTTTTTATTTAATTTTAGTTTGGTCATTTAATAAATGATGACTTAACTGTACTGTATTGCTTTGCAGATTTTCCACAGTGCTGTTGGGCAGTGTGATGGTGAGTCATTAAACTTTTCTTCAATAATAAGAATGATTAAAGATGAAAAATTAAATAGTTTTTGCTAATCTTGTTAATGATATGCATACTTGTTATTATCAAGCAATTATCATTAATTCGCAAATTCTTAATGTCACTGTTTATTTATCTTTGGTATTCCTGTGTAGTTTTATAACTTAATTGTTTCTCTTGATTTAAAGTGAAAACATTATTGTATGAATTATTATTTTTTAAACACACTGGTTCTCTCCCACTGAGCAGATTGGCCCATAAAAGGAGCTTTTACCATCATACACTCTATTAATACTGTCTTTCTAGAGGTGCACAGACACTACAATTCAGATGCCTCTCCACCCTTCTTGCAGAGTGCAGGCACTGTACTACTCACCTCCAGGACTCAAGTCTGACTAGCTGGTTTCCCTTGAATCCTTCACAAATGTTACCTTTCTCACACTCGAACAGCTTGTCAAATCCCAAAAACCATTTGCCCCCACTCCTATCTAACACCCTTACACACACATGCTGGATGTACAAGCCCCTGACACACAAAACTTCATCTCCCTCCCTCCATCTTTTCCTAGGATGACCCCTACCCTGCCTTCCCTCCACTACAGATTTATAAGCCCTCCAAGTCATCCTATTTTGTGCAATCCTCTAAATGTTCAGACCCCCTAAACTAGGCCTCCTCAGCCCTCTGGATAATACTTTTAGTAACCTCGCACCTAATATGCAAGCTACAAATTCTCTGCATAATGTTTACAGCACACATCTGGAGGCTGCTGGAGGCACTAGACATCTCTAGTGCCTCCAGCAGTCTCCTCCATGCAACATTCACAACCCTTGTTTCACACCCATATAGGAGTGTTGGTACCACCATATTCTCATACATTCCCCAATTTGCCTCCATGGATAACATTGTCTCCACATCTCCACAGGTACCTCATTGTACCACTCACCTTTTTGTCTTCATCAATTCTATGGTTCATCTTTCATAGACCCATCTACCGATAAGTCCACTCCCAAATATCCAAGCACATTCAATTCCTTCATACTCCCTCCTTCCGATCTGATATCCAATACTTCATTGCCTAAATTGTTTGTTACCTGCATCACCTTGTTTTTTTTCTATGTTCACTTTAATTTCCTTGTTGAGGTGGTTCGGACTTGTAGAGAGGCTGGAACAAAATGGAATGACTTCAACAGTGTGTAAATCTGTAGTGGAGGGAAGGCGGGGTAGGGGTCGGCCTAGGAAGGGTTGGAGGGAGGGGGTAAAGGAGGTTTTGTGTGAGAGGGGCTTGGACTTCCAGCAAGCATGTGGAAGTGT